TGTATGTATGTATGTATGTATGTATGTATGTATGTATGTATGTATGTATGTATGTATGTATGTGTTGGGAGGATACTCAAGAAAGGTCAGCAAGGTGATCAAAGACCTCATGGGCTATAAGAGCTGATCCATCGCCATCAGATGCAGACGTCTGTTATAAGTTCATTTCACACTGCATGAACTGTTATGATTTTAAACTGAACATTAGATATATAATTTAGAATTTGCTCTATATGTGACCCTATTTGCAAAAACTGGGCTTAACAAAAATTTACGCTACAAACTTGATCTCAAGTGAAGCGATGGAGCTAACGATCGGCGGCCTGGGCTCGTTAAAATGGCGTCACTATACGTCGATGACTTTGCTTTGATTACGAAGAATTCTATTCATTGAATAATGCTAAAATAAATATTTAGCTGTGACATATCATCTAAAGACATATTTCGATGCTTTACAGTCTTTCTGATAATTTTTGGGTTGTTTTTTGAATCTAGCGCTAGATTATTAATGCAATTTCCCGTCAAATTACAAAAACAAACGTCTGAGCGAAAATATTAGATATTGCCTGTTCGTTTTGAACGTCGGAAGGCAATGATATTGTCTTGTTCAGACTGTTATTAAACAGCACTCGCCTGAATCAAATAATAATTGGTTGGGTTTACACTAGGCTCTAAATTCTGATCAAAGTCACTCAGTTGAGATCATTTTGTGTGTGAACGGCTTATCAAGGCAAGTGCAAGTCCATTGGTAAGCAGGACCTTCAAAGATTTCAAGACTTCAAGCAGTTAAGCGAGTAAGAACAAAATGACCAAACAAATGTGTGTGGATCTAATGGAATGCCGGAGAAAAGCTACTCAAAAATGTGAAATAGTAAAGGCATTCTACACCTTTAAATAGACATTAATTTTGTTAGTGACCTGCCAGCAATATATCCTAGAACTATAATAATTCTGCTTTATTCTTGTAAAATATTACGCATACTGAAAGTTTAAATAAACGAAGATAATAATAATAATAATAATAATCAAGACAAATATATTATATCTTGTCAAAAAGTTTAAAAAGTGTTGAACTTACTTTAAATTCTTTGACTGTCAAAGGAAATGTAGCAGAGTATAAAAGAATCTGCCTGTTGCTTGGCAAGATATTGATGATATCCTCCAAGAGGTTTTTAAAGTCCATTGACAGAAGTTTGTCAGCCTTAAAAACAACAGTGAAGATAATATTTWAAAAAAATATTTCTATTTTGTTTCATGACAAAGTGATCATTTTTTATATACTTACTTCATCCATTACCATCATTTGACATTTGCTCATATCTGCCAAATTTTTCCTCATCAAATCCAAGATACGGCCTGGGGTTGCTACAATGACATGAACTGCAAGCAAATAARTCAAGCGAGGGTAACCTTCATTATTTTGCAAAACACAATTAATTTTTCTAAGTATTTCTTAAAAATATGTCATCACTTAAATGCTGCATACCTTTATTGTAAATTCTCATAATGTCATCTTTCAAACTTGTTCCTCCTGTAGTAACCATAACTTTTACTCCCAAGTGTTTACCAAGTTCCTTGCAAATCTGTGAAGTCTGAAGCGCAAGTTCTCTCGTAGGTACCAGTACCAGGGCTGAAAAGAATAACACTGATCCTTAGTTGCCCCACAGACTATGACATGAATTCATGACATAATCTCACCTTGAATGACATCCTTGCCAGAGTCTATTCTTTCTAACAATGGAATTAAATAGGCAGCTGTCTTCCCTGTGCCATTTTTTGCCCTAGCCAATATATCTCTACCTGCTAGTGCTACTGGTATACTCTYCTCTTGAATTGGGGAAGGCGTGTCATATCCTTTCTCAAAAATTCCCATCAACAACTCTCGTTTCAGGCAGTAATCTTCAAATTCATTTCCTTTAGTTGAAGTTACATCCTATAAGGATTAAACAAACTAGTAAAGATTTCTTTTATTTACTGCCACCCGGTTAGCTCAGTTGGTAAGAGCGTCGGTCTGTTGTGCGGGAGGTTGTGGTTCAAGCCTCGGCCGGACCAACACTCAGGGTCTTAAAAAAACTGAGGAGAAGGTGCTACCTTTGTAATTACATCTGCAAATGGTTAGACCTTCACATGGCTCGGATGATCACTTTAATGGCGGTCCYATCCCTAATTAACTAGAGATGTTAGCAGAGGACCACAAGTTTATCAGTTGAATTACTGTCAAGTGTTATCCTCTATAAACAAAGTTAATTAATTWATTTTATTTATCCATTCACACCAATTATTGAATGCCTTGCATTCAACTATCTTATTTCAATATGCCAACATTCCTTAATTACTGGGTTGCCTGTGGCAGCCCAGTCGTAAAATGCCTTTGGTTTTTTTTTTGTCTTCCCCTTCTCACTAAAAGTGCAAAGTTGTGCAAGAGTACCCATATATGGATTTGAATGAGGTGTTTATAGATTAATGGCTCATATGCTGTCTTAGCAGCATGGCATGGAAAAACCTTTATAATTTCAAGAAGCTGCACTCAAACTATGAAATATGTTCGGGTTGTTCCACATCTTACCCCATATAGAATCAATACTGTGAATATTGTCAGAAGGGTGATAGGCACTTTAAACTATTTTGGAATCTTACCAAGATACCCAAACGTACCATCAAGCAAGCATATTTCATATAACTGGCCTGTTTCAATTCTGTAAAATGCCATTTATATCACTTGACTACAGATTCATTTATGAAGGATAAGCCTTGATTTTGTGTTGAATATTCATGTGTTCCAGTGAAGGTTGGTGGAATTTCAAAGTGTTTGTATHGTTGAAGTTGTGTATTCTTTACTTTATCATAGGTATCAAGAAGCCTCTGTTGTACAGGGACACAGCAATTTATGAATTTGAATGTCTATTCTGATATAAAAATAACTATTTGCCCAGGGCAGCCCAGAAATGTATCATGTTCCTAAGGAAACCACTGGGCATGCTCAACATGAAACCGCTAATGTTAATGTCATACATATTCTGCAAATGCACTACCTTTTAAACGGAAAGGTTTATAGTCTATAGGTAATATTAGCCTAGGAGGGTAAAATTATTCAACGCATGATGATTTTTTTTTCAAAAACTGCGTCCAAAGCTGTAGCTTTCAATATTTTCCACTCTGAACCTCGCTAATCTACGAACAAAACTATGATAAAGCCTAGTTGGACGGCACTCCGATATAAACAGTTAGGCTTTGACAGATGATACGTTTCAACGGCTCGCCATTTTTACAAAACTATGCTGTTTTTTTYCCATAACAGAAAATTCATAAATTATCGAATATCATGCTTAACAAATTTCTGCACAACGAAGATGAGGACAACTACATACTTTAAACAAACAAGTCAATTAAAAGAAAAGCCCAAATCCTATTTCTTTTGACTGACAACCCAAAAGCTATGCGCTGGTTGGACAAAGTAGTTTCACAGTCGACTTACAGTTGTTTTGATACGATTATCCTTCGGGGGAAGACTGAGGTTTGCTTTCCAGTTTTCAGTTGTTGCTCTGACAAGAGAAAAGTTTTTTAATATTATTTTATTGGAAAACCATAAGAATTTTATTAACGCCTGTTAGACTTACGGTTTTGCATTTCTAGTCGTAGGTAACACAGTTTCCGTTTTCGTTTCTGCCATACTCCAAATTTATCTTGGTTGATAGCTTGTTGTTAGAGCACTTTGCTTCACGCAAATGAATACTGAGAGCTTTCGAAACGTCTAATAACGCTTTCTTGTATCCGAAGTAAAGAAAATCAATAAGGATGGTCGAGATAAATTAAGATTTCCCTAACCAACTTTCCGTCTTCTTTACTTTCGGTTTTCTTTACTTTCGGTTGCTCAACAAGAAAAAATATATTTAGAGAAGGACTGGGGTCCAAGCMTCTAGTTTCCAGTCACCTTTGAGCACTAATCCCATAATGCATCTCAGGCAAAATATTGGTCGCCATCTTGTTTTTCACATGTAAGAAGAAAAACACTGAAAAATTCGATAAACTTTGCTCAAAATGTCTCTGTATGACGACCTTGATGGAGTRCCTTTACAGACTTCGTCAACTAATGATGTAGGAGAACTTTCTGGCTGGTCATCGAGTTTAAAACTCATGCAAACTCAACTTCAAAGGAAGAGAGTTGTTCAAAACAAACCAAGTCAAAAGTCGACTGTTATAAACCCTGTCATCTTGAATAGGGGATTGAAGCGAGCTAACGACGAAAGGGAAGAGGCAAAACTATCCAGTGAGACAGTTCTCAAAGAAGAGATTTATTTTTTTGATGAAGAATCGGAGCCTTTTTTGGAAGCAGACGCACCAGTGGTAGTTGATGAGTATGATCCCTTGAAGCCGAATGAATACGAAGTAATAAAAGAAAAGCATCGAGAGATACGGGATAGAGAAAGAAGAGAGGCAAAAGAAAGAGAGAGGAAATCAAGAGATAGTGACCGAGGAGATCGAGATTACCGTGATCGTGATAGCTACAGGGAGAGAGATTATGATCGAGATAGGGATCGTGACAGAGACAGGCGGAGGGATAGGCATAGGGGCAGTGACAGTGATGATGAAAGTAGTCACAGACGTTCATTAAAGAAAACAGGTGGTGCTACTATTGCTCCTCCAATCATTCTATTGGAAGAATCTACTTCTGGTCTCGGTGAGGAAGATGAGAACCCTGAATCTAGTTTAGAAAGGAAACCATTCTTAGGACTGGGTCGAGCAGGAAAAGATAAGCCAAATGTAGGTTTCAACAGTCCCATTGCTTCACAGATTATGGCCAAGTATGGCTGGAAGGATGGACAAGGTCTTGGCAAACAGGAGCAAGGCATAAACACATGTCTTCAGGTCGAAAAGACCAGCAAAAGAGGTGGCAAGATAATCAACAAAGATAAAGAGAGCAAAACTCAAGCAAGTGAATCTGACTCACTGATCAGTGCTATGAAGAATCCAACCAAAGTTGTATTATTGAGGAACATGGTTGGTCCTGGCGAAGTTGATGATGACCTTCAGCCAGAAACAGCGGAAGAGTGTGCTAAATATGGAGAAGTTAACAAAGTAATCATTTATGAAATTCCTGAAGGTGTTGCAGAAGAAGAAGCTGTCAGAATATTTGTTGAATTCCAAAGAGTGGAATCAGCAATCAAAGCTGTAGTTGACTTGAATGGAAGATATTTTGGTGGACGTTCTGTAAAGGCATCATTTTATAATCTAGACAGATTTAGATGTCTTGATCTGGCTTCTGACCTATAATATACAGTCTTCAATCACTTAGATAGTAACAAACTCCATAAATTTGGCTCACAGTTTTCATATTGCTAAAAACATCAGCTTTATATACATATCTAATAAAGTTTACAATTTCTCTATCAGGCATGATCAGGCATGCAATATCTCACCATTACTGTGAGAAAAAAGTTTAACTTACTATAGAAAACTACAGATTAGCAAGGAGCAAAGTAATTTCTTGATAARTATGCGATAGTCTGCTAATATTTTTGTGCAAAACCCATCAAAACACAATTACTGTAATAATAAACTTTAATCAGTGTAATTCAATGATTTTGCTTTAGGTCAACTCACAAGCTGTTAATATAAAGGTAATGCAGCCAGCAGCTGCTTATGTCAATAAAATGTAAAGAGAAGTTGTTTTTATTATACTAAAAGGAGAGTTATTGTCATTATCATGAGGAAACTAATGGTAATTTATGCACAAATGTTTGAAATAATTGTATTACTCTTGCATGGGAGACAATGGGAGATACAATTTGGCTGTAGCAGCAGTAGTCTCCTCTGCAGCCGTTCTTAGTGTTGGTCCGGACCGACACTAAGAACGGCTGCAGAGGAGACTATAGCAGCAGCTGCCTGGTTATAATTAATTTTGAAAATAAAAAAAGAATTTTTGCATGGTAAGAATTTGATTCTCAGGAGAGTGAAATTGTATTGCAACATTGAGCTGCATTGGTACCGCACCTGGCTAACGTATTTGGTAAGAGTGTCGGTCTGTTGTGCGGGAGGTCATGGTTCAAGCCTTGGCTGGACCAACACTCGGGGGGGGTTTAAAACAACTGAGAAGGTGCTGACTTAGTAGTTATATTGTATTGTAATTATCTTTCTTATTCCTCTTTATACAAAATTTTCTCAATATGTAATCTCTTGGATGGAATAATTGAATGATGATGATGATAAATTATATCTGCAAGTGGTTAGACCTTCACGTGGCTTTATTTAAGATGCTACACAGTGGTGGATCTAGGGGTGGGTTTTGGGGGTTGCAACCCCCTCTATGAGAGCCATYGTGATTTATTATATTTTTCATGACAACATCAACAGCATCGCAAGTTTTATTAAAACAGGGGTGCCGAACACATTTCGCTCGCTTTTTTTTTCTATACGCCGTGTGTGGGACCTGAAACAACCATGCTTGCCTGCAGCAAATAATCATTATCATAAGACCTACTTCCATTTGGGAACCCTGTGCTACTTTCCCATCAAACCACTACCTTGGCGGGAAATTTCCCCACCAAACAAGGAACCTCAATCAATGCTACAACCCCCCCTTTGAACAAATCCTGGATCTGCCCTTGCTACATGTATTATTTGAGAAGTAGCCAAAGTTAAGTTTGAAATACCAAGTGTTAAATTTTAATTCTTTGATCTAAACATGTGGGATGCTTAGAAAAGATGAAGAAGTGTTGGAAACCATGATATGTAGCTTAAATTTATGGTTTCTAGCTTCTCCAGRGTCTTTCATCATCCCTTTTTTTTTTACATTGGAGTATCCTTACATAAACAATCATTTTAGTATGCACACAACAAAGGAAGCCAAAACTCACAGAGAATAGTTTTGGAATTATGGTTCTTCAAGGTACATAACATATCCTATAATTTCACTTTCATTAAGTTTTTTGCCTCCTTAACCCATATGTTATGAATGGTTCCGAAGTAATAGAATTTTACATTTTGTAGTTATCTCATTTAAAATGCTATACATTCCATACTGTATTACATTAAAATAATGTAACCCCACAAAAATCTCATAATTATTATTTAGACTGTGTGATAAAAACAAAAATTACATATCACACTCCAATTATGACATTTTCATTAAAGTTTGTTATATAGCATGTTATATAGCATGTTTGTATTTTTTAAGAATTTATAAATAGATATTTTTTCCAAGCCAGCATAAATCCTATTATTTTAGTCATGTTAATTTGTCCTTCTTACTTAATTAAAGAACTGTCAAAACATTATTGTATAAGAAGATGTGTGATTTTTTGTTTATAGTTCACTCAACAAAATTTCAGTAAAAAATGCGAAGCGACGCCGTTCATCTTTGTCTGTTTGGTGGCCGATTTTCAGTCCATTGAGCAACTGAAATGCATAAAAAAGATTAGTTCTTATGGCTTTAAAATTTTATTTACATGTTTTAAGTAAAAAATGATAGAAAATAATTTATTGTTTTGACATTGTTTTGGCCGTGTTGCCATAGTGACTTAATTCGGTACTCCTACGGAGTACAATTAAGGCTATAATTGTACTCTTCTCGACCAATCAGAGTTGAGTAATTTTGTTGAGTGTACTATAAACACTAACTATGAGAAGATATTGATTTATTTGGGCTTGGGTGGCAGATTTAGAGGTGGTTCCATGGAACTCCCCTTTCATTAGTGCAGTGCAATGGTCAATTTGGAAACCCCCTTTTAATTTCTGAATGTGTTAGTAACAAACTAATTCAATATTTAACTTCTGTTATCACATATTTGAGGAGGGTTAAGAACTATTGCAGGATTATGAAAGGAGGAGTTACGCAATTGTTGCCTTTACCATGCAGGGAAGGTTGCGTTATGTTATTTTGTCAATCCCTTCCCTCCATTTGCTAATGAGTGAAAGCCTGCTAAGTAAGTTTAAAGACATGCTTCTCCATACAGCCTCAATCAAATGCCTTTATCCATGAGATGCCAAGTCAAGGATAACCAGTTAAGTGTTTTTATTTATTTTTCATCATGTTTTCTTCCTATTTTATTCAATCGTACATCTGCCTCTATGTATGGAAGGCTTTTAAAATGCATAGCAGGAATCTTAACACAAAACGTGTCATTTCCTTTACTTAAAGAGCAATATTTAAAGACATAATATCCTTCCATGGTGCCTGTTGGTGTTTGGAATGTCGTACAGCTTACATACTCATGTGTAGCTCCTGGCTGCATGGTTGGATGTTGTCCTACTACTCCTGCACCATGAACTTCAGTCTTTTCACCATCTCCATCAGTAATGTACCAATGCCTTGTTGTTAGCTGACATTTATTACTCTGTTGACAATTAGGGATTTGGTAAGTCTGCTGTTCAACTATTCTACTAATACTAGCTGTTGGCTAATATTTACATTAAACAAAATGTATTCAATTAAGATAGATCAAACGAGATCTCTCAAAACTGTAATAAAATCATACATTTTCCTACACTTGGATATGGGGTATCACCATATATGATAGAGTGAGATTTTAATTTAGTTAATAATCAATGAGTGCTATTATCGAAGTAGGACTTTGAACCAAAAAAAAATTTCCTGAATTACGAAGTTCATTCCAGCTGCCATTATCTAATAAGGAGGGGAATGCAGACTGAAGGGTTGATGTTTGTGGGTGGAGTCCTTGAGAATTGGAGGCATAATCGTGACATGTTTTTCTGGCTTGAAACCCAGTTTGTTGACATCTAGAATATGCATTGGATAGGATTTGGAATATTGTTATGTTGCATAATGGAGCATCTTTTATAATAGAGGGCTTTTTTTCTGTTAAAGTTTAGTATATTTATATGTTTTTWAATTCTGTTTAGAGACTAGATTTTAAAAGAAATAATGCTTCAAATGATTTATTTCCAAAAGTCTTTAGTCACGCAATCGCCAAACATAGTATTTTTGCATGTATAATGAGCCAAAATAAAATCTATTGCAAAGAGTGCACCATCATTTCCCAAAATAAAAAATACAATTTTCAAAAGAGCAGTTTCCCAATAGCTATTGACCGTAATTTTCTAATGTTTAGAGAGATCATTGGCACATGTTGAAACTCTTAGTTTTTGAGATGTACTCATGAACATTGTAATTCAGTGGCCTTTGCTTTTTATTGTGCTGAAATGTTTTGAATTGTCCGATTTAAAAAATAATACTGAAAAAAGAGAAGAAGAGCTGTACTTTGAGCAGAAAGTATTATAAGGCTATTTGGAATGAGAGTTTTGCTACGCGAACCAAGTGAACGCAAGTAATTTTTAGCCATATTTTGATAGCGAGAATCACCCTGGAGCTCAAATTTTCTTTTTACCTTTTCTCAAAAACAAAAAAGAATTTTTAAAAACTAACCACGCAGCGTTTCATTCTGCAACATACACTACTTAAATCCAAAAGTGGAGCAAATTTGAAAAATTGAGCCTTGCCACCATATGTTTGATTCTTACAGACATTCTTCACTCTTAAGTTTGCAATTCGCCATTTAATATTATACAGAACAAATTACAGACAAACTGGAATATTATACATTGAGAACAATTTCTGCTATTTGTAGTTTTCATGCCTTTTTGATTTTTTGCTTGTCCCTCCAAATTGACTGTGCTTTTTTGGTCTTTAAATTCTCTTCAGTATAGTTATGTTACATTATGAAATATCCTCCTACTCTACAGAAACAAACCATCTTTTTTTTGAAAGAAATTTAATATTCTCCATAATATTAGATGTTAAACTTTATTTTATGATTAGAGATYGTCTGATGTTAAACAACGATAAGTCGACTGAATTTCTTTTACTAGGTACTAGGCAACAACTAGCTAAGGTAGATATTGATAGTATACTAGTTGGTAACTCATATATCGAAGCAAAACCAGTAGTAAGGAATTTAGGGGCCTGGTTTGATAGCACTTTCAACATGAATACTCATATCAGTAAAGTTTCTGGTGCGGCTTTCTACCATCTGCATAATATCAACCRCATATGTAAGTTTTTAAGTCCAGAGGACACAAAAGCTTTGGTGCATGCATTTGTAACATCAAGCGTTGATTACTGTAACAGTTTGTTATGTGGTTTACCTGCAAAGCATTTGCATAAATTGCAACGATGGTATGCTGCGCCCCGCGGTTTTGTCATATCTCGCCTCTGATGCGCGAGCTGCATTGGCTACCAGTTAGGTACCGTATACACTTTAAGATACTGATATTCGCATTTAAGGCCATTCATGGTCTCGTGCCACCGTACATAAAAGAATTGATTTCAATCAAGAGTCAAGGCAACTACGATCTGCGTTCATCTACAGGAATATTGCTAGCTTATCCTAGTTTTCGCACACGGGCCACCTTAGGGGATAGAGCATTTGTTGCAGCTGCGCCTGCACTTTGGAATGACCTTCCATTTGAATTGCACGCAATAACTGATATTAACACATTTAAGCGTCATTTGAAAACTTTGTTTTTTAGCCTGGCATACAATTAGATGATTTGAAATATATTATGTAATCCAGAGAGCATCCACAAAGTTGGGACATGATATTATTTTATGTATATAGTTATATTTTTATGATTTTTATTGGTATTTCGTTTAGATTAGTTCCTAATATTATTAT